TCATCTTCACCATCAAATCTTTATAGGCAAAAATTAAATTAGCAAATATAATAAACATAAGACAAGTTTCCTCCCCTGAATAATAACAACTGCTTAACACCTATAAGATTAGTGTGCATGGAAAGAGATTCGTCTGTTTAAGTTTTTAGTCTTCCCCGTTAATTGTCTATTTAATTTAATTTCAATATGCTAATTAAAGATCAATTCTAATAATACTCGTTCATGGATCAGAAGCCTCCCTATGAAGCTAAATTACCTTGTTCAATAATTAGTCATTTTAATATTGAAAATAAAAAAATGAAAAGCTGTTTACAATTTAGAGTTATTCATTCCAGATAATATTTTGATAATTAAAGCGGAATGAAGAAATAACATAAAGTGTACAATAAAATATTAGTAAGCGTATTCCGAGACCTTAGTTACATATCAATTCTATTCTTGTACCGTATAAACATATGCTAATCTTCAAAAAATGCTTGAATGCAAATCTTAAATAAAATAAAACTAGTTGTATGTCTAATACCCCTTCAAGTATTCTACAATAACATTTAAGTCATGTAGTTAAAGTCATATATTTCATTTATCCTTCTTGTTTCTTTTCGAAGTTGCTCTTTGTGAAATAAGAGCTTGCAGTATTTGAGTCTATATATATACAAATAAAAAATTAAATAAGCATTATAGTCAAAAATAAAAAAGAAATAAAATTTGTTTATTAAATGCATAAGAATTTTCTTATTTAAATCCACCAAAGTAGAACTTCCTTGGCAACATATGAGAGTTCATTGACAAGAACAACAAAAAACCCTAACTACCCAATTACTATGATTATGCTTATCTCCTTTAGTTCTTCAAAAACTAAATTCTACTTCTTTGACATATTTATTGTAAAAATCATAAATATCTTGTTATGTTTCAAACTCCATTCCAACTTTTGGAATAGTTTCTTTTGACATATGTGCATGAGCTGAAATCATAATATTAGCATTAGAATCAATCATGTTTAATCTTGCTTTGGATTCTACTCCTCAATTAGTTCAGTTGACAAGGGAATATATCATCTTCGTTAAATTTCAATCTTCAGCATAATTGATCTTTATTTATTGTATTTATAGTTTTTTATCGATAATCAAAAAAATAAAAAATGAAGAAATTTAGTTATCTTTTAAATTACTAGAAAGATCATATCCTATTTTAATAAAATTTCATTTCATATATTTAAAAATTAATTAATTAAATATAATTAATGATAAAAAATACTTCAAATTTGAATTAACATTAAATAAATTGTAAAATTTAAAAAATAAAGAATCAAGAACAAAGAAACAATTACAATTACATTACGATTACAAATTACAATTACGATGCACTCGAGCATTTAGCTTATTGGTTGATATATTATCTTTTTACTTAAAAAATAGGGTTTGAATCCCTCTTTTTCCAATTATAAAATAAAATAGAAACAATTACGATGAAAAGAATGATTAAGTTGAACGTTACATTAATGCTTTGAAGATTGATAAGAAAGATGTGTTATTTTATTATTTTAAACCTAATGATGAAAAAGATGTTGTAAGAAGTTTCAAAGCACGGTTTAGATTGCTTTTCTCTAATTGCTTTTAGGTGACGTTTAATATTTTATAATGTAATGTGATTATAGGTAATGTGATTGCAAGTAATGCAATTGCAGAAAAAATAACATTACAGTATTTGGTATGCAAACAAAATAATGATTAAAATATAAGAAAGATAACATTGTAGCGTTTGATTTACAAGTACTTTGTTGAAAACGTAATGTTAATTTTTAAAATTATCCATATTTATTAAAATATAAATTTAATATACTTATATTTTTCATTGTTAATTTTTATATAATCTCATCTCTTAATTATATTTTTAATGTCATATATTTTATTTTCATTTCTTATTATAATCTTATATATTTTATTTTTATTGTTTTAATATAATTTTTTATATTATATATTTTATTTTAATTTCTTTTATCTATATTATATAAAATTTAATTTCTTTTATTTTATTTTAATTTTTAATTCTTATATTGTATATTTTATTTTAATATTTTTTATTTTAATTATAATATTCCAAAATATTTTTAACAAAATAGTAAAGTTAAAAAGTAAAAATATCTTTAAAAATATTACAAAGTGTAATGTAATGTGATTATATTAATTTTAAACTGCAATCACATTAAACCTTTTAATTATAATACAATTATATTACAATAATTTATTATAAAATAAATATTATAATATAATTTAAATAAACATATTATAAAAAATATACTTCCACTTATCCCGTACCAAACATTATTTTAGCGTTATTTCAATGCCGTTAGTTTTGAGCACTAACCCTGCAGACGCCGTTAAAAGCTACAAGTCATGATGGGACAGATGGCCTGAACATATCAATGGGGACAGAAAACTGAGGGCACGTGACGGGGGCAGGGGATATTCAGGCATGATGCGCTTTTTTCACGTGAACCAGAACACAATTTATATTAACTCTGTCGGAACAAAAATGTTCTGTCGGGACCTCCACAATAAATTTTTGTCAAGTATCTATACGATGCTTGTGTTGTGGTGTAAAATATAATATTTTCATATCTAAATAAAAAGTAAGATTCAACACTATTAATCAAAAAATAAATAAAATTTAACTAAAACAACAAGGATAAGATTTTGGGCTGTGGATCCATAGATTGGCCTAGAAACCAAGCTCTCCTCTGAAAACCTTAAAAAGTCAAGCCTCTTGGGCCACGGCTTGCAAATCCATTATGGTATTTCTCGATGAGGCTGAAAATGGATTTTGCCATTTTGGATTATGCTTGAAAATACAAAGTTTTGTTCATTGCTCAGCCCATCAACAAGTTTAGTCGATTTTGCTTTTATCATCTAGCAATGGGCTGTAAAACAATTTCAAGTAGTAGGTTAATCGACAATTCTGAAATCAATAAAAACAACTAAAAAAAGATCTTTTCTCCTGATTTATTTCACCAATCATATTGCCACATACCAATTATATTCGAATGGAATAACATTATCATCGAAAAAAGGATTGAGACAGCAGAATCAAGAGCGTTTATCCTTGTCACCAATCCGTTTCTTGGCATAACTCTTGCCATGAAAGTCAACAAAAAGAGCCAAAAGAGAGGCATTGAAAACAGCATTGAAACACCAACCCCAGATTCCTGAACAACCCGATCCCGTAAAATGGTAGTAAAGCATCAGAACAGAAACTAGAAAGCTGAACACGAACTGCACAATCTGGCAATCCGTAACCAATCTCTTCCACTTCGGGCGCATCCCCATCGCGCACGATAGATAGTAGAAGTACATTACTACATGTACGGTCGCATTGGTGACTAGTGCCACGGGGAACAAAGACTGGCAAGTGTGTAACCAAAGGTAGCACATGACAACTACGGTTCCATGGTGATAGACGTGGAGAAACGTCAGCCGCTGCTTTGATTTGCTTAAGATAATCAACAGGGTATCTACGAATTCAAGAATCTTGGAGAGGTAGAAGATGTTGGCCCAGAAGAAGAGTGGGCCCGCGGGAAGGGTGTCGGGAGGGAAGCAAATGATGTGGTGCAAGGGAGATGAATGGGAGATGATGGAGAGGCTACAGCCAAGGGCCATGATGAGGGAAACGAGGAAGAGGGTGAGGGAGTGGAGGGCTGTGATGGGTTTGAGGATGTGGGTTCCAACTGAAGGAAGCGGGGTTCGGGAGAGGACGAATGTGAGGGAGAAGTATGTGAGGACTGTGAGAGTGAGGAAGAGTGGGGTGGAGCCAAGGGTTTGACCTTCAGTCCATCGGAAATGGAGGATTTTGGGGTGGTTCACTGACCAATACTGGAGAGTTGAGAAAACTTGGTCCATCTTGAAACTCACGCGTCACCAGGTTGTTGCTAGAGGCGGCGGCTGTGGTTGTCAGAGGATGGCGATCGACGGGATGCAGGGCCTTGGATTTGACGGCAAGTTCAATGCTCTTGACGGCAAGAAGCCAAGACCCACATTGCGTTTGTTATCCTCTTTTTCATGTGGTCCTGCTTCCATAACTACGTATTGAGGATTGGATGTTGCGGTAGTGGTTAGTTTTTAAGTAGCGTTTGCCACGCGGACAGTGGTACATCGAAAGTCATAACATATTTTTTACAATATTCAATTAAAATATATTACGGCAAACGCTGTAAGTTATTGAAATGTAATCATATTATAATTAATAGATATAATGTAATAATTAGATTATAATATATTTTGTAATATGTTTAAAAATATTTTTATTTTTATTTTTATTTTATTATTTTATTAAAAAATTTTATAATATTATAATTTATTTTTTTATTATTTTCAAATAGTCACAATGATTATTAAAAAAATTTATATATTCTTTTAAAAAATTAAAATAAATTATATAATATAAAAAATTATATTAAAAAATAAAATAAAATATATAAAATTATAATAAAAATAAAATATATGATATTAAAAATATATTTAAAATATAATATTGTATAAAAATTAATAATATAAATATAAATATTTTAAACTTATATTTTAATAAATATAATTTTAACAATTAATATTATATTTTAATAAAATATTATAATTTTTTATATTTTAATTATTATTTTATTTATATATTAAGTATTATAATATTATTTTTATAATTATATTATTTATAATTACAATACTTATAATTAGATTACATTGTAAAATATCAAATATATTTTGATGGGTTACTTAAATTTCGATGAGCTAGACTGAAAGGCTTGTTGCTCTATGGGTTTCGACCTTTGAGGCTAGCGGCGAGGGACGGGCCACCCAATGACATCACTGCTCTTCAGGAAAGAGAAAGGAGAATAGAATTTCATGGGGATCAACCATACGGCTATAGCACCTGGGGAAAAACACATGCCAAATGACAATTACAGAAAATTGTGACACAGCGGACTTGTTCAAATGATAAAAAGATGGCAAGACTGGAGAGGAAACTCCATAATTATGCCTTCTACTCTAGCTCAAATATAGAAACTATTGAACAATTAACTGCACAGTGCTCTATTACAGTTCATCTAAGAACAAGTATCTGCCAAAAATATTGCTTCCAACTTATTTGGGGTGCAAAAGCAATCAAAGTGACTCTCAACTTAAAAGTGTAGCACTTCATTGAATAGAACAAATATTTAACATCAAATCGGAACAAGTAGAAGCAGTCATGAACTCTCCTCCAAAATAATCTTCATGTTACAGTTAACGTGCTGGTGCCATGAGGTGATCCTTTAGCCAGCAGTCAGAACTACGCAGAAATCACAGCATGTCCACACCTTGTTGAGGGTCTTTTTGTATCGGATTCTCTCCATCAGGCAGCAAAATTGGAAGGCAACGGTAATTATGTCAACTCTCTACACAGAGCTTGCAGTTACCTTCTTCCGGACAATCCTCTTTCTCCGGGCCTTTGGAGCATCGACAGCAGAATCGGCATTTCCTTGTCTGATGCCAAGAAGTCCAAGACCAGAAACAAATGCATTCTTGGATATAAACCATTCAGAGGATGACCTAGTCCCATCATCAGACGGTCTGTTGTAAGCCTTCAAGAGGTCATCTGACTGAACCAGCGGATCTGCCTCAACACCTAGCCAAGCCAACCTTGATCTCTCTCCTAATTGAACATTTAAAACCCTGCATAGGACCAGTCAGGTGAGGTTAAAAAACACACACACACACACACAAACTCCATGAAAGTAACAAACAATGATGAGTTCAAAGTGCAAAAAGCATCAATTTAAAACCATCTTCCAAATGATATAACACTAGCGCCCGATGGTTTTGTTTATTAAGATCCTGAGATAAGTAACCATGACACAAGGAATAACAATAAGAAAGGTATTAGAGATCCCTTGATTAAGTTGAGAATTTTAGAGAACAGTTTTAGAAAATATAAAATGCATATGGCTATATTTTAGCAGTACATACAGTGAAAAGGCATTGAGAAGTATAAAGAAATTCCCAATGAAAAGTATTAGAAGTGCTTAGCACAACATAAACAAAAGAAGAGGATGTGTGTGTGTGTCTTGGGGGGGTGGGTGGAGGTGCAAGGGACAGATAGAGACCTTAAAGCTGTGCTGAAGAACAATGCTACTCCAATGACATCAAAATGGTTGACCATTGCTTGATCGAACCCACACAAAAGCTGATATCTAAGGTTAGCATAGAGTCCAAGGAAAGCACCATAACTAAGTGCATTAGTACTCACAGACGGTATTGTCACAGATAACCTGCCAATATTTTTAAAAAAATGCCCACCATTAATACATTAGTAACAAGCCAGTAACAGCAAGAAAATTTTCTTTTTCCAAATAAATTGAACAAAATGCTAAATGAAAATTTGGCTAAACTACTTACTTTTCCTTCTTTTTACCGGCCAAGAAATTTGACAAAGAACCTTGCACTGCTCCAGCAGTTAATCCAACAATACACAACTCTGCAGCCTTGTAAAAAAGAGAATGGATTCTCTTTTGCAAGTCAAATTCTCTAAGTGGGTAACTGCGTTCGAATATATTGTTTGGAAGCTTCTGCAATGTGTTTTGCAAGTCAAACCGGAAGGTATTACCATAAGAACGACAAGGAGCAAGAGACCAAACTACAAGAGCATTGCAGGCTGCTAGTGTGAGCACATTCATAAGTGCCAGATCCCATTCTTGCTTAATCCTGTACACAAAGCAAAGCAAGTGTTTATTAGTTCAATTTACCAAAATGGATAAACAAGGCAAGCATTTATCTAATCATGTAAGAAAAACCACCTATCCTTTCGATTCTTCAACTCCCACCAGACAGAAGAGCCAATAGTAGCAACCTCCTCTAAAAGAAGCCTGTACAGAAAGGCAGGATCCGCAAGTATCCTGAAAATAAAAGATTATACATAAGTATCCAATGGCAGACATGCTGTGAGCAAATAGTCATTTCATTCAGATTGTTAGAGACATCCATGAGAGGTGCATAAGTGCATATCCGGGGTTACCTGCCAATAAATGCCCTAGACATTCCTTGAGGAAGTGTTCGAGAAATAAATCTACTAGTGGTTGGTCTAGCATTCATCGCTAAGAATTTTACCATTTGCGCTGAACTGACCAATCCCTGAAGGCAAAAATTTTTAGTCAGCATCTAACTGCAAAGCAGAAAATCCTTGACTGATAAAGCTATAAGAAGTTACTAAACCATTTCATAAGCTTGTCGTAAGCCAGCAGGCAAGTCCATCATTGTCTTGTGCCACTCATTCAGTACAGCATCGACGAATTTTCGATCAAAAAGCTGGAAAAAAATGATGGAAAATCAAATTTATGTGAAAATTTATTCCTTAAGCATTTGACCAAAATAAGTTGCTAAAACATGCATAATGCATCTGTTGGACTTTGATCTCCTACCTCTTCAAGAAACATCCGCCTTCTGAATAGTCCACCCTCTTCTCCCTCCCCATCATCATCAAAGTCATCAAAGTAATCATCATCATCTCCATCATCATCACCTCCATCTCCACCTCCATGGTTAATTTTCTTTCCAATATCTCCACCACCTCCCCCAGTTGCAAGCTGCAATTTCAAATGTATAGCTGATCCTTTCAAAATTTTGGATAATGTTTACAAGGAAACAAATGAAACAAACAACTCAAAGAAAAACCACATATCATTTACAATAAAAACATCAAACCTCACCCTCAAACCACTATCAGAAAATTATTGAGGTTAATAATAGTACAAGGAGCATCAAAACCAAAATCCTCATATCTAACCAACAGACATAGCATAAATATACAGATATTGAAATAATAAATCAGCATGAACCTGAAGTATAAATAACTCTTAGACCAATCCATAACTTGTTATCTAATCATTATTTTAAAAAAACAACTATGTATTCAAAATTTAACATGTACATGGCAGGCTCACCAAAGAAGATATACCTAAACATATTTAATTGTCAACATTGTTGTGGGGTTTTGTTCCAGTCTTCCACCAATGGAGAATATGATCATTGCAAGGATGGGATAGAAACAGTAATCCATTAAGCTAGTTAACTCAAAGATGTATTGAGCTTCAGTATTGTATATACTACGGTCTGTTGGATAGAACATCCAGTTATAACTAATCAACGTAGTTCTATTTCGTGCGATTGAACCCCCAATTTGAGAATACACATTTAATTATGCTCGTGATTATGAAAGAGAGACCCTTAGATTTTCACAAGTTTTAGAAAAAGAGAAAACCTTCTAACAGGAAGTTATTCTATTTTCTCTTTAAGCTTGTATAACAGAAATAGGGTAAAATTTCCATTTGAATTCATTCACTAAATAGAAATTCAACAAATGTCATGAAAAATACTTTTTATTGTTAATTAATAGAACAGAACCTCTTTTCTCCGCACATTTAATAAAACAATTCAGTCTTTAAATACTCCTAACTAAAGTTTTGAACTTTTGATGCCTAAAGACTCAACCATTTCTACCTCTAATATCAAGAAAAAATAAATACTTAATACCCATTTCTCAATTCAGATTAACTAACATTAAAATTAACTCTCGAGGCCAGAACTAAGATTTTGAAAACTAACCTCAGGGCTAGACGTGGACTGTTTCTGAGACAAATCAAGCTTCCCTTTCTCCAAAGTAACCGCACCATACGCACCGTACTGTCCTCCCTTCATAACCGGCCCCACCTCACCCGAACCGGACTCCACTGGCCCCGGTGACGCCAAGAAACAGCGCTCGAGAGCAGCCAAAGAGCATTCTCCACAGTCTAAAGAAGCAGACGAACATCTCACGGTCAGATTCTTCCTAAGCTTAACGGACAACGGATGAGCCGGCGGCGGCAGACTCGGTTTTAACAATAAGGTCTTGGGTAGTGGTTGGAACATTATATGAGACATGCTTCTGTTTAAGGGTCTGTGTTTAAATGGAGAGAAAGCTTAAGTCTTTATACTCTTTTCCGATAAAATTTTTCCTAAAGAAAGGTTTCCCTTTATTATTTTTTTCTCTCTCTCAAGAGGGAGAGAAAGCGAAGAGAGAGAGGAAGAAGGGATTGTGGGGGGTTTTGATGGATAGTTCAGCCGACTACAAGCCAACCCAATCCGATTGCAAAGGAAAAAAAATAATGAGTCGATCCGGGTGGTTCTAGCGATTGGAATCAGCCGACTCGGTGAGTTCGGGTCGTGTCGTTATCGAGGTGCGGGCTCATTTTCTTTGGGCCACACGGACAAAAGTGCAAACCTGCAAACCACTTTCCAGCCACCAAATTACATTGACAATTAAATATTTTTTATTTTATTATAAAATTCAAAATAATATTATTTTTTTATATTTTACAACTTTTTCTTGATTTTATTTTATTAAAAGATAAAAATTTGGATCACATTACAATTCAAAACAATATCAGATTTTATATTCAAATTATAATGAAATTATTGTTTTAAAATTTAAAAAAATCATAATTATTAAATCGATCCTAATCATCTCATCCCTTTTCTTAGATTATAATATAATTTTAGTATATTTTTATAATAAAAAATTAAGACTCGTCGCATAAAAAGTTATAACTATTAAAAATTTATATTAATTGAAAAATCATGTCATATAGTGTAACTATTAAATTATAAGTAATTTTTTATGTAAAAAATTATATTTATTGTTAGAGTAATATTTAAAAAAAAAACTTCTAGATCAAAAAATTATGAAATGATTGAAAAACATATCTATTCAATAGTTTAGATATAATAAGTTATCTTTTTCATATTATAATTCAAAGATTATACCTTATATTAGAAATGATTGTTCGTCATTATTGAAATAATATTTTTATTTAAAAATTGTGTTTATTTTGGCATATTAAACAAATAAGATAAGAATAAATAATCAATAACAAGAGAAATGTTATGTAATGAATAAAAATTTAGAAAATAAATATAAACACCTTAAGTTATCATCATCTATTAACAGAGTTTAAATTTCAAATTTTTTATAATTTACTAGTTGTATAAAGCAGATTCTAAAATCAAACAATTTAGTAGCTTACATGTAACTGCAAGATAAAGTAAACATTAATTTCATTGTATCTGTAAAATTATTCCTGTAATTTCTCTTTGCATACGAAGTGATGAGATGAAATAAATCTTAAAAATAACTTTTATTGAAAACAAATATTAAAGTTAATTTTACCAATTCTTTTGAATTCTAACTAAAGAGCATTTACATGATGCACATTAAGATTCAAAACAAATTATAATCAAATTATCGACCCTTGCCTAAAAAAATATATAATATTATTAAAATGGATTCGTATTATTGCACGTTGTCCATCCTCATCAAAGAAAATGAGATTTTTTAAGATAAGATTGAAATTATTTATTTAATGTCAAACACTAGACCCATTTTTTATTCATTGTATAAAAACGAGAGCACAAAATAAAATTTTTTAATAAAAAAATCATTAATCACGGGAGAAATTTGTTAGGCAAAGATTTAGTATTTAGATTCAATTTTTTTTAATAATTTGCGTATATATTTGGGTGATGAAAAATCTCAAAAGAGGGATAGTCTTAACGCTTAATTTTCCAAATTTACAAAGAAAATGTTTTTGCGTTTAAATCTGGATAGATTGGAATTAACTTAGATTAATTATAAATTTAATACTTGATTTATAATAAAACAGTCAATTTGATATTTTTAAAAAATTTTCAATTAAGTATTACAAATCGACCCTAGCCACCCATTCCTCTCCTCCTTCCTTTTCCTCAATAATACAATAATTTGTTTGAGGAAATGAAAGTTGAAGTATTTGATTAGGATTTTTTTTCCCGTTACTAAATCGATAAGCTTACTATAATTTGATTGCCAAATTTGTAATTAACCCATTTTAATTTTGATGATAATTTACTTGGCTTGACAAAAGTTGGAGTATTCAATTAAAATTTTTTTTCTGGGTGCTAAATCGATAATTTCACTATAATTGGATTGCCAAATTGTAATTAACCCATTTTAATTTTGATGCCACACTCTCAAGGCAAAAATGGAGTCTTTAGGGAAACTGATATTCTACAAATAGGTTCCTGGAAACTACAGTGGGCTATGGCAGCAAGAAACCAAAGCCTCAGACAAAGGCTGCACGAAAGTAGTTGCAGTCATGGAAAGAGATATCAACAACGAGTTAACATCATTTCTCAGTCATCCTTTTCTTTTGCTACAAGAAAGACAAACTGGGGAAACTATAAACAGAAATCCAGGAAAAGGAATCCCTTGTTGTATATCCAGGAAGGTATCCTTTTCTCTCTTTTTTGTTCACAGATTAAACTTGATCGTATATAAGGAGCTCTGAATTCTTCTTCCTCAATCTCAGAAACGTTTCTGACAACCAAAAACCAATTCCCAGTCTCCCCATTTTCTTGCATAGCGAAAAACATGTCTCTAAGCCACCGTCCGCGGGTTACGGTCAATGGGATCCGAAGGATGAGAACCTACCATTACTTCTGGTGTCTCCATTGCCGACGCACCGCAAGGTTTTCCAATTCAAACCCATTTGAAACTTGTTGTCCCCATTGTTTTCGTATACTTAATCACGAGCTAGATGTGTCAAGGCCTAGGCTTAGAGCTGATCTGTCTGGCACTGACCCCTACCAAACCACTGCTCGGTTATTGGATACCTTGGCTACTGTTCTCGACCCTTCACCTATGCAGCAAAATGGAAATTTTGGTAGAAGAGCTCGTTGGAATTCAAGGCCTGAAAATGGACCTTGGATCACTCTGGATTTTGTTGAACCTCCTTACCAGCAGCCGAGCCCTATTATTGCTCCGTACCTAGAAGATATTGTTCCTCATGGAGTGCATAATACAAGCAACAACGCACTGCAGGATCAATTCGGCGATTTCACCGATGGCTTAACAGATAATGACAGGCCAGGTCCTCCAGCAGCAGCTGCTTCAGCTATTGAAGCATTACCAACCGTGAAAATCACTGAAACTCATCTGATCAACAGTACTCATTGCCCCGTTTGCAAGGATGAGTTCCAGGTTGGTGGAGAAGCAAGAGAGCTACCCTGCAAGCACTTGTATCACAACGATTGCATCGTGCCTTGGTTGAGCATTCACAACACTTGTCCTGTCTGCCGCTTTGAGATCAACGATGATTCCAACGCTACTGATGACGATGAAATTGGTGAGATCAACTTTGACAACATTGGCTTTGGCGTTGAAGATCTGGCAAATGGCCTAACCTGGTTGCGGACCCAGTTCCTCTCTTCGAGGCCTCTTCGTGCATTCTCTCATTGGACACGCAGACATCTTGATTTTCTTGACAGCAGGATCAATGCAACTAATTTCTTTCGTGAGGGTAGGATCTCTCGCCATTGCTTAGTCTTCTGCTTGCTCATGATTTATATAACCAACATTTGTGAGTAATTAACACAGCTACTATGTTTCCCCCCGCAGCTAGCTTCTGGTGGCCCTCTTGGCTCATTCTTTAGCTTCTGTCTGAACACCAACTGCCTGCAAACTTGGTATTTTCCAACCCTTTCCAAGGCAGGTATGTATGTATATATGTGTGTGTGTGTGTGTGTGTGTGTGTGTGTGTCCAACTCTATACCATACTAAATTTCAAGACATAAAGCATTGATGGAAAGAATGACAAGATGTTGGAGCCTTTAACAGGTATTTTACTTTTTTCTGGTCTTCCATGTCTGCTCTTCAAAATGCCCCATCAATTCACTTCAGGAGAAAATCTATAAAAATTTCATTTGTTTTCAAGATTTTTGCTGTTGTTAGCAAATTTTCTTAACTTGGTTCTTATCTTATCCTGCAGTTTCTCATCAAATGAAGGCAACATTTGTTTTGAGCTCCATGTTTGGTCTTTAGAAATGGGTGTTTATCTGCTTATTATGCTTAACTGGTTCTAGCAAGAAAGAAGATTTCATGTAAAAATTTTTATGAAAAATTCCCCCCTCCCTGGTTCATTATTGTACAGTCCACCTACTAAACCCTTCATTGAAAAATTAAAAGAGAACAACAACCGAAATAATAATAATAACAATTCAATATTGTACAGGCTTTCATTTATTTGTTATTTATTGATAATTTTAGAAATATTAAAAAATGCTATATTTTAAGAAAAAAGAAAAGGAAAAAAAAAGAAAGTTCCATTAGACAGCGCCACGTCAGTTTTACAAGTACAGGATGTTGTTCCTCCAAAATTGCACATGACCAAAGTCAAGGCTTAGAATCACTGCAGAGCAGTTTCAGTTTCGCCAGAGACACTGGTCTGGGTCTGGGTTGTGGATTGATGGGATCAGCTCTGCCTCAACCATTCCAATTCCAGTGGGACTTATGGGCCCCACTACCATCTTCGTTGTCATCATCAAGGGCAGGATCCAGACCCCTCCACGTTATCACTACAGCGGCTTCTCTCCGCCTCGGCCGCCTTCTCCGCCACCACCTTCGTCTTGGGTTTCTACTCCGCTCCTCCTTCAAGGTACCCTTAAATTACTTTTCTTACTCTCTCTCTTTCCATTTCCCATCAGGGAAAATCCCATCAAATTAATTGAATCTTTGAACTCTCTTGTTGAACAGAAACTCTCCCATCTATGTAATGTGCCTAGATTGAAGGATGTATGGTCTGAAACCACTTCCAACTTCAAGGGAATTGACATTTTTCAATTTACAAATGATGCTTTCTCATCACCATGTTCATCTTACTTATGTTTCTTCGATGGGGAGGAAACGAAAAGGGAATTTGGAAATGAGGGTAGTAGATCATTCGAAATGGGAACTTCCAGTTCCAGGAGAAATTCATTTAACAGAAGGAAATGGACCAACATCCTTATAGCTATTAATGTCTTGTAAGTCTTCCCATTTCAAACAATTACATCTTCATTCAACAAAATTGAGTTGCCTGTATAAAAACAAAATCCTACTCTTTCATTGTATTTGCAGAATTTATGTTGCACAACTGGCAACACAAGGGAAGCTGTTGCTTTGGGGAGCCAAGGTGGAGTCATATCTGTTTCGGTTTCATGGGATTTTCTGGAAACTTTGTGGTTATTTGATTATATGTTATGTATAACAGATCAATAGTCTTGTTGACAAAGGACAGATTTGGAGGCTGGCTACATCTTCTCTTTTGCATGCAAATATAGGGCACCTCATGGTCTGGTTTGAATCAGATGGTTTTTGAATTTCTTGACTGTGAAATGAAACTTCATTTGATTAGGAGGATTTGTTGTTTTCCAGATCAATTGTTATTCTTTGAATTCTATTGGCCCTACTGTGGAGAATATAAGTGGTCCGAGGAGATTTCTTGCAGTTTACTTAACATCTGCTATTTCAAGTAACAACTCATAAACTCTTTACAGTAGGTTATAATTGCTTACCTGCTAGTACAGTTTTTGACTCAATCACTTGAAGAAAATTAGGTGCTGCTACAAGTTACTGGTTTTGCAAAGCACCGGCAGTCGGTGCATCAGGAGCAATCTTTGGATTAGTAAGTCAGTTTGAACTCTTCACAAAATAAAATAGATGTTTTTAAGAACCTGTTTTAACTAATGGTGGTCTGCCTTGACAAAACTTAAGCATTGTCAAGCTAATTGTTTACTTTTATCTTCTTCCTTATCTCATTTGAAATTCTTTTGTTTATCTAGGTTGGCTCTGTTGCTGTGTTTGTCATGAGGCATAGAGGCATGATCAGAGATGCCAAAGAAGATCTACAACGTATAGCTCAAGTTATTTTCTTAAACATGGTATGATTTAAAGCTTTTGCAACTCAATGTTTAAGAACCAAAGGAACCGTAAAACAACCTATTGAAAAATCTGTCTCGTACATTCCAAATTAAGTCCCTTGACCTGCCAGATTTTTCTCTGCATGAGACAGATGCCTGAGTTGGTCTTGATTTATTCAAACTTTTGCTATGTTATTGGTCTGATGTATGATTCCCCTGAAAGAAATGTAGTGCCTAGTGTGCACCAGACAACTTCTTACAACAGATCACATGCTTTTGCTCCCACTTTTATGAGCTCACTGGTAATGAATGTTGATCATGCAGGTTATTGGGCTGATGTCCAAAGGCATTGATAATTGGGGACATGTAAGTCTAACTACTATGCCTTTCTACACAAGTGTGCTTGTTGGTATATGTCCTGTTTTAAATTCTATGAGTAGGGTTTGGTATTATAACTCGTAAGCATCTGCTTGTGCTTTTCTCTTCTCCAAAATGGTGTTTGAACTTTAATTCAATCATTGTTACTATTGAGATCGTTGTGAAATCTAGTTGATCAAAGAAATCTATTTACTTTCATTTGTCTCAATCACTTTTTGCCCTTTTTGTTCCTTTTGCTTTCTCTTATTTTAGTTCCTATGCTAATTTACAATTTCAGTTGGGAGGTTTGCTTGGTGGAGCAGCAATGTCCTGGCTTCTTGGACCTGCCTGGAAGTACGAATCTATGGCCAGCGATGGTCGAAGAATATTCTCAGACCGAGCTCCACTTTTTTACCTTATAGACAGAAAACGAAAACCTCGATAGACCAATTAAAAATATTGAATTCATCACAGTGTGTTCTTATAAATTTAGCCCGCTTAAATGGGAAGGGTCTGGTTTAAACTAATTGTAGACTGTGCACTTGTTTGCATAATTCTCTCTGTAAATTTATGCTAAACCCACCACCAAATTAAGCTCATCAATTTCTACCAGTTCCTTGAAAATATTTCTGTGAGGTTTCAATTTCTTGAAATAAGAATGCCAATCAGGAGTTATTGCTAGCCACTCAGCTTTTTCTGTTTTCGAGTTATCTTATAATCCTCCGTCAGTGCTCAGGAAGTAAATTGTTGAACTACAGTGCATATCAGCCAACCATGTTTGCTTAATCTGCAGCTCGTGTCATGCTGTTCATCCAGTTATCGATCATCTGTAAGCGAAATAGACATGGACCATCTGGAAATGATAAGGCTTACTCAGCATACACTCTCGAGGGTGGGAGAGGAAGGAAAACATTGCTTTTAGACCAGTTGGAACGCAACTCTAAATTGGTTTTGTGGAATGGTGAATGCCACCCACTGCAGAACAACCATCACTTTTGACTGGATTTGTGATGTGTTTTTTGTCTCTTATTTTCTTCTTTATTCTTTCCTTTCGTTATCCCATTTTGTCTGGTGCACCAAACACACCCAAAATGAACACGACACAACAACTAAAAGTCCTTAGATGTCTATTTTCTTGGAAGGTTGGAAGAAAACATGATGGCGTGCCGCCTGCCTGGTAGAACTAATGGCCTGATTTGAAAATAATGCAGATAGAGTTCGAGAATAGCAGAAATCCCCTTTCTGTTTTGGCATCGGCAAGAAACTAATAATCAAACCCAGTCATGAGAATCATCCCAGAGATGAAACTAAACCAAAAGGTGAATCACGGATTCATGAATTAGTGTTTTTCTCCCTCATTCGGGGATTCCATTCATCAAGGGGAAGCTACTCAACATGCTGAATTCATATAAATATATATACTCTTTCATCGTTCCTTCAGTATTATAAGACACTAGCTTTTACATTTCAGCATAACATGTTTCCCTTTTACCCGACATTACAGTTGCTCAAAAAGAACCAGCATATTCTTTACACTTGAATCAATATAAGAGATGGTTCTTCTTTAAAACCTGCATGGTGATGCCTGCTTCTTAAGTAGTCACACCATCTCTAGGGAGTTATTCCCTTTGGGAAAAACATCCCGGTGTTGTTTTTTTGTCGTGACATCATAAGCATTTGTAGTAAGATGAGTGGCCTGCCACCTCTCTGGCTTTGACCAGCAGTTCATCTTCCATCTCATTTACATGTACATTGCTTGCCTGAAGGAAAAGGAAAAAACTTCGAAACTTTTCACAGGTGCTTCTATCATCCTTGCCACATCAAAATTGAGAAATGAACATCCTCTATCATGGTCTTTTGGACGTCTCGGAGCTGTGGGTGGTATGATGCAAAATGTATCAATTCGATCATAAGAGTAGATGAAAGATCACAAGTCCAAAAAAGCCCAGTAACCAGACTTCCTTGGTTAGAACACGCACTGCTAAAGCTGCAAATGCATACAACAATCACAAATACAATATTTAGAATTAGCTATAATTTAGTAATACAAAGGAAACTAAAAACATATGCATATCCAACTGGCATTTCTATTGCCTAAACACATAAAAAAACATAGATAGATGCAACATGATGGAGATACACCAATACTACTGTCACACTTGAACACATAGGTAGGAAAGCATATTTTTTCAGAAAGAAGATATAGCACATCAGACATAGTAAATCAAACCAGAATACAGTTTGAGAAAGTAAAGGATCATATTATATAAAATGGAAAACAAAGCATAAGAAGAATCATATATATAATTCACTAAGCATTAGTTGCATACATGATGGAGATGGCGCTGATGGAGACTGAGCAAGTGGTGCAGAAACTGGACCTTTCATACTTTCCATACCATGGCCTGGCCGAGACCCATAAGACACTGAAGGTAAAGGTGGTAGTTCTGGGGACAACTGTGACCGGGGACTCATTACAGGCGGGTGGTGAGGAATTAGGTTAGAATGAGATCTTGGTGAAGAACTTGGCGAAACTGCATGATGAGAGTATGGACAGGGGGGAGGGGGATGAGTCACTGCACTAGAGGGTGCAGGAGAAATTGGAGTAGGAGGAAAAGATGGGTAGGAACCACTTCCAGGACTTGGTGAATGCAGGGGACTATGAGCAGATGGAGAAGTAGCTTTGCACTTACGACAATGTGGAAGATGACGATGATGACTCTTGGGTGGTGATGCTGGAGAGTGAGTTGGTGGAAAAGTAGGATGTGGGGAAATTGATGGCCCTGGAGATGGAGCTGGTGAAGGAGTAGGAGGGGCAGCATGAAGTGTACCCTTCAGATAAGATGATAAGCTAATGCTTTTAACTTTACCAAAGACTGTGTTATTAAGACCAAGATTCTTTGCAGGAGAGTCTGTGATGGTTTGAGCCAACTGTTTTAATCTCTGCGGCAGAAGGCTGCCAAAATCTGACATGACTGAAGCCTGTACTATGACTGGGGAAGATATTGTGGAGCCATTTTTGTTTGTTAATTGCACAAACACATTCTGCAATGAAAAGAAATACCAAAAATTATGAATAAGTAGTACCAAAAGATAGGGCTCAAATATTATGGTATCAAAAGGTACAAAATAAGGTATGGAAAAGGCAAATAAGATCCTCTTTGCTCCCCCACCCCCCCCACCCCTAATTTCTGTCATTGCATGAAGAAACTTCAAGGTTTTAATTTCCTCAACTAGGGTTAAAATGCAGTTACTAATACATGATCTGGCATCTATAAATATATTCTACGAGCTAATCAAGAGCCACAGCTTCTTCAATAGCTGGAGAGATACAACAAAAGTTAGTTAAAGACCGAACACTTAAGATGAAGCGTGTTTCTTCATCTTTAACAGAATCAAATTATTAATATTCATGAATTTCAATTGCTTTGAATAATTTAGTAGCAAGAAGTTATCCAATTTCCACTTCCAAACACTATTTGACCCGATTTGAAGTCATGAGAATGGTAGTCTAGGGCTATCATAGATCCACCCAAAAACAAGCCATTGGTGAAATTGAAATGCATGACGTTGCTCGAAACAGATATCATACCTCATAAGACCTCAGACGAAGTCCATATTTCAACTGATCCTTTAATTCAATGAATTTGTCCTGTATTTCAGATATCGAATTATTCAGAGTAAAATTAAATAGAATCTGGGTTATCTGCCAGATGGAAGCAGATTGCACGGGGATTATAGTGATGCCTCCAGGAAACTTCAAAATCTCAAACTCAGAAGGCTGCCCAAAAATTGAAGTTGTCAAAGTCAGATTGGATTGCTGGAGGAACAGCTCGATTAGAGATGATCTCAGCACACTTAAAGATACTGGATTTATTGGAACATTTATGGGATCAGAAAGAACACCAAACACCACATTGGTAGAGTTAGATGCACCTGACTGGTGCATGGATAAGATAGCCACCTGTTGAAAATGAGTTGCTTTTAGATCAAGTTTTTACATAATATGGCAGAACACATATATTATATAAAGGCAGAAGTTAGGCGTAAAACCTTAGTATCAGGGACACCTATTTCTTCAAAGATATCATACTCTAACTTTCCAATATGCTGAACAAGCTCTGAAACTGGTTTCTGAAGTTTAAAGTATGCATGAACTGGCGCTGCAAAGAATAAATGGACATATATAAGCAACAAATGAGGAAAATTACTTATGGAACTACATCACTGAACTCAAAACGTCACTCAGCATGATGGAAATACAATCAATGAAAGGTCTTACTTCTACACACATTTAGGCCAAACTAGGAAAGGTCAATTCTAATCAAGCAACTGAAAACATTACCTAAGTTCTATAGTTCAGTTCAAGAAAGAAAAAGAAGACCATTGAGTTTGATTGAGAATTGGTTACTTGTATAATTGCACATGATCTTGCAAAAGATCACCCGTTTCTATATGATCAATCAATTATCAACTTTTAGGTATGAGAAACATAGCCCTTTTCTCAAAAGAAAAGGGGGAGAAAAGGCATTGAAACAAACCATTAATGCTTGCCCCTTTCACGAAAGAAGAAATACTCTAAATATAGAAAACAATCACTTCCGATTACAAAATTATAATTAGAGCCACACTTGAGTCATTAAATAAAATGCAATTAAATATTCAAAAATATAGTTCTTATTTGGAAATCTAAAAAGAACCTGCCCTCCCAGAAATGCTAGAAGAAGATGAAATAAATGCATTCCCATTTCACTAAAACATGAGCAGAAACTAATAAAACACCAACAAGGCAAAGTAACTACCATCCGCCGACCGGAAACATCAGACACTTATGAGAGAACAACAAGGCAAAAGCCACATTTTAGGATATCCTGATTCCAGATTTAAAATACAAATTTCGAATCTACAAAATCAAGACCAAGTACCCAGATGTAAATGAAGTACCAAGCAGCAATTTACAACAGCAGCCATCATGGAATCCTAGTTCAAACACAATTACAAGGTGAATGAAACATCAATTAGGGAAATACCCATTATCCCTCAACATTTGGAGATCCAAATTACACAACAAAAAATGAAATGAAAATAAACATACCCATTTGCTGGAGACATCATAAAAAACCGTAATCAAACAACAAAAATTATGCCAAAATTACACAATACCCACTTCAAAAATTAAACCCTAAATCACACAACGAGTATGAGAAAAAAAAATGAAGAACAGAAAAAGAACTTACCACTGAGCTTAATGGCTTGCTTAGCATCAAAGCCATACTTAACAGAGCGAAAAGGAAGGATCCAGAAGATCCCGGGCAACAAAACCGACAAAGTGAGAAACAAAACAAAAACACATCTGAAACTGAACTCATTTGAAAGCCTTGACAAAACCACCCAACATCCCCCATGCAAGCATCCTTGATGCCCTTGATTGCTCCCTGATTCAAGACTCTGCTCTCTTTGCTGCAGATTTGGGTCCTCATTTTTCCCCATTGAAAGAGCATCTGGAAAATACTTCTCTCTCTCTCTCTCTGCCCCTCTACCTCTCCTTGGGTCCTTTTCTTCCCTTTTCTTTCTTTACTTTCTCTCTCTAGAAAACTCACTTCTTCTAACAACAAGAAGAAGAAAGAAAGAAGAGCTTGCAAAATGGTTGAGAAAGAAGGGTGTGTGGATTAAGAGACAAGTGTTCATGGTGGGCATATGCCCCTCTCTCTCTGTATTAACTACTACAATTTTGACAACACCCTTTCT